GGTACCAGGTATTGAACTCACGACTGCCTGCTTGCAAGGCAGGAGCTTATGCCACTGAGCTAAATCCCCAGCCCCATATGTGTCTTTTTCACTGCATGTTTTTCTAGGAATTTGTTTTCCTGTCTTGTTAGGATTTGTTTTCCCTATAATACAGAGAGGATAGATATACATGTAGAAATTTACACACGGGAAGATTTTTTAAAACTATTTACAGGAGCAGATTATATAATGCAAGATGTAATGAACAGATACTCTGAAGAAGAAGAAACACTAAGAAACCCAGTGCTAATTCTGTAGCATTATGATATAAAATCTAGCAATACTATTATTCACTGTTCATAGTGATATTAGTCTAGTCTCAAGTTCAATTTCAGTACATATAAAGATAAGGACAGCTATTAGGAAGAGACTGAGAGATACTATGGTAGTTATTATTGTCTTCCCCAATGTCAGATCTCAAAGACCTAAAAAGCCTTCATCATCCTGTAATGATTTGATTAGTTCTATAATGTGCAGTATGTATTAAATGTGTGTGAAGATGGGGACAACTATTTGGAAGAAACTAGAGACAATTAGATAAACAATGAGGATCTCCAGTGGACTTGCTTCAAAATCTGTATTTCTTTAAATTGTTTCTTTTTGAACTGTTTTATTCTGTTTTGATATGTTTAATCTTACCCTCTTTAAGATAAAAAACAAGTGTGTAGGACTGATAACCATGTTACTAAGTTTTTGTTAGATCATTGAGCAGAACTGTTGGCAGTGTCACTATTTGAATGTCATTTTACGTACTTTAATTTTGTAACCTGAACAACTATTTCTAAGATGACAATATGTAACTTATCAACTGGTGATTTCTTACCATTTATTTTCCTGTAATTCTGTATTATTTCTACTCTTTTTTTCTCCATGTATTTTTTTCTTTCTTTCTCTTTAAATAAAAAAAAAGAAGATGCAAAAACAACTCCAAACACACTCAGCCACCTTATCTTTGACAAAGGAGCCAAACACCTTCACTGGAAGAAAGATAAACTCTTTAATAAATGGTGCTGGAAAAACTGCTTTCCACATGCCGAAGATTAAAACTAGACCCCTATCTTTCACCATGCATTAAATTAAAATCAAAATGGATCAAAGATCTTAAATATTAAGACAAACACAAAATCTGTTGGAAGATAGAATAGGTAGATTTCTTGAAGACACTTGTGTAGGCAAAGACTGAACAAAATCCCAATTATACAAGAAATATCACAAAGAATCAACAACTGGGATCTCTTCTTATTAAAAGCTTTTGGACATTAAATGAGACCACCAACAGAGTGAAGAGACAACCCACAGTGTGAGAAAAAAATTTCTGCTTATTAGACAAAGAACTAATATCTAAAATACATGAAGAACCCTCCAAAAAACTAGATCCCCCAAATGTAAAGACCTAATCTAAAAATAGATGTCTGAAATGAATACATACCTCTCAGATGAAGAAATAGAAATGGCAAATAATTATATGAAAAAAATGTTCAACATCATTGGTCATTTAAGAGGTGCAAATTAAAACACCGCTGAGATTCCATCTCACCGCAGAAAGAATGGCTGTTACAAGAAATCAACCAATTGCAAATGGTGAGCTGTGGGGAAAAAGGAACCCTTCTCCACTGTTGGTAAGAGTGCAGAATGGTGCAATCACTGTGGAAATCAGCGTGGAGATTTCTCAAAAAACTATGACTAGAGGTTGCATTGGACTCAATTATTTCCTTTCTTGATACCTTCCTGAAAGAATTAAAAGCATCACACCACAGTGATACATGCACACCATGTTTATAGCAGCACAGTTTGTAACAACTAAATTTTGGAAACAGTCCAAATGCTCATCAGCTGATGAATGGATAAAGAGGATGTGGATTTTTTAATACAATGAAGTACTATTTCGTCATAAAGAAGCTTGCGACATTTTGAGCTAAATTCATGCACCCTGAGGTCACACTTCTAAATGAAATAAATCAGACACACAGAGTTAAATACTGTATTGTTTCTCTGGTGTGAGAAACTGAAAGCATACATATAGACCAAAATGTATAACAGATACTGTGAAATGGGAAACATTGTTCAAATGAGAAGGGGAACAGGGAGGATGGAGGGGAAAAGGAAAAGAGTAAATAGAATGAGTGAAGTCTAGGGCTGGGAATATAGCTCAGTGGCATAGCACCTGCCTGGCAAGCGCAAGGTCATGAGTTTGATCCCTGGCACCCTGTAAAAAAAGAACAAAGCCTGTGACTATTTTGTGACCTTGTGTTCCTTTTTTGCCATCTTGGTAGTAATACATTTCTATCTGGAAAATATGACATACTTTTTTTTTGTATTTTACATGATTGTATTTTAACTTTCTTCCAGATTTTTCTTGCAGTCCAAGGTGTTAATATCCAGTCCTTGATCTTTGAGGAGTTCTGGATTAGCTCAGTTGATTAAAAATGAAAATTAGGGCAATTCCGCTCTCAAGTATACAGATCAAAAGAACTAAAAGGAGAGAATCCAGTAGATAACTGTGCATCAGTATTATGTACAATAGTCAGAAAGTGAAAACAACTCGAATGTCTATCCACAGATGGATGGGAAAATAAAACATAGTAAGTCCATACAGTGGAACAGCACTGAGCCATAAAAGACAGAAAGACAGTTCTGCTCCATGCTTCAATGTGGATGAACCTTTACAATGCTTTAAGTGAAGTCAACAAATCACAAAGAGATTGTATGATGCCACTTATATGAGGTGCCTAGAACAAGCAAATTCATGCAGACAGAAATGATGGCTCCACAGACTGCATAGACCAAAGGGCAGGGGGTTAGGGCAAATGGGGAGTTAGGGTTTAGAAGTTCAAAGTCTCAGTATGAAGTCATGAGAAACTCCTAGAGATAGACACTGACAATGTTTATGCAACAACACGATGGACTTAATGCCACTGAACGGTAAAAGTGAGTAAAGCTGGCATACATGCATGAAAATACCACAATAAAATTAAGTATAGCACGAAAAATTAAAATTATACTTCATCACTTAAAAAACGATTACATTTGAGCTGGGACTGTGCCTAGCACGTGCAAGTCCATGGTTTCAGTCCCAGTGGCAAAAAAAGAAGTTAAAAAGGTCAATTTTATAGCATATATATATATTTTTTTTATCGGTACAGGGAATCGAACTCACAACCACGTACTTGCAAGGTAGGCACTTCTGCTGCTGAGCTAAATCCCCAGCCCTATAGTATATATATTTTACTAAAATATATTTTTTTATTGCTGAAAGTGTTGGTGCATACCTGTAGGCCTAGCACTCAGGAGGCTGAGGCAAGAAGATTGCCATCAGTTCAAGGCCAGCCTGAGCTACATAGTGAGTTTAAACCCAGCCTAAACGTCACAGGGAGACACTATGTCAAAAAAAAAATATATATATATATGTGTGTGTGTGTGTGTGTGTGTGTGTGTGTGTGTGCGCGTCTATGTATTTCATATTTTACCCTCTGAAGTATTTTATTTGTGTTTCAGTAATTAATCACAATATAATGTAAAACAGTGTACTTTTTGTTTTGAGACAGGATTTCCTCACTGGTAGATAGTGCAGGCTGGCCTTGAACTCATTATACAGGCCAAACTAGTGTTAAACTCCTGGTGATCCTCCTGCCTCAGTCTCCCAAATGGCTGGGATTACAGTATGTACCACCACACCTGAAAATTATATATTTGAACTCCCTCTCATGTAAGACATGGAATTTAGCATATATTCAACCATAGGGCATAGTTTTTAAAAAATGTTTATTCTGTATTAGTTCATGTTTGCAGCTCTTGCGTGGCTCTTGTATAAGTAGCAAGTAGCTCTTGCATGGAGCTGACACGTGTATAGAACGCAGCTTGATCTTTTCATTTAATAGTAAAGTTTTACTTTTCCAAGCATACAGCTGGTTGAACCTGTTCATGTGTGTTCACAGGTGGTGGGGGCATCCTCCCCTGGGCGCTGTATTCCTGGTGTAAATAACCTGGGTTCTGTGCTTTGCAGCTGGCTTGGTGGGTCCCTTCCTAAGGAGCCCCTGAGGGCTGCCCCGGCTGGGACCCAGGGTCTTGGCTCTCTCAGAGACCACGGCTGGGCTATAAGTTTCTATTGGGAACTCGCTGGCGGAGTGCGTTGAAAGTAGCTTTACCAAACAAGACCAGGGTGTTGCGTCTGGACCACTTCTTTGTAGCCTTGCCCCCAGATTTGTTCACTGGTTTTTGTCTTTCTTGGCCAATTCTGGCGTCTTCTTCTTCTTGTCGTCTTTGGGTGGCACTGCAGAGCTCAGGGAGCAGCGGCAGCCACTGCAGCCTCTGTGCAAGGCAGGACCACAAAGCCTTAATTCTTCTCATCCCCTTTCTGCCATCTCTTAGTCCCCTTTGCTCTCTCAGGAGAGCTATCTCCCTCTTATCTTTTAGTCTGCTCCTTATTTATATTTCAGATTTCTCCTATAAGAACAACAACACAGTAGTGAGCACCTCCCCTCCCTGGTAAGCGGCGGTAGTGTGGCCCACTGCAGCCCTTCCAGGGGGAGAACTAGCAGTGTCTCCTGAGATCCAGCCATGCTGGAACTTAGGACTCCTGGAAGCCAAGCCAGCATCTCCCCTCCCTGTAAGCGGAGGCAGGGTGGCAGCCTGCAGCCCTTCCAGGGGGAGAACTAGCAGTGTCTCCTGAGATCCATGCCATGTTGGAGCTTAGGACTCTGGGAAGCCAAGCCAATACCCCCGAAAAAAAAAATCCATGTAAATTATATGTAAGTTGCAGTACACCAAAATGTAATCCACTATTCTGTGCAATTTACATGAACTTATAAAATCATTTTCAGATTCTATAAAATAAAAAAAAACTAATATGATTGATAGTATCAAGTTTGGGATTATAGGCAACTACACTGAAGAAGACAAGACCCTACGATATACATTCTGGTTTGATAACTGCCAGTTTTTGAAGTTCTATACTATATACAAAGTTGTGTTTTTATTAATATTGTTATATACTGATACATTCAGTTATACTATGTCTGATGATATAGCCAGTTCTATTGAAGATAACAAGAGACAACACAGGAACTATGGTAGAAGTCCTTGTACAATGGTCTTATATGTCTTTTTTGTTTCATGTGTTTATAGGAATATGTTTTGTTCTGTCTTGCTTTGTTTCGCTTCTACCTCTAATATAGAAAGAACAGAAATACATGCTAAGACTCATGCATGTGTAGAATCTATAAACAGTTTATGAGAGCTGATCCTATGATACATGATGAAATGAACAGATACTTTGAGGGAAAAGAGTCACTAAAGAACCCAGTGCCGACTCTGGTGTGTCATAATGTGAAACCCAGCAATAGTATTATTCTCTGTTCAGAGTGATACTAGCCTGTTTGGGTTTTTTCCTATCTCAACACAATTGAAGATATGGATAACTGCATGTATGTTTAAGTGTATAGGATTGATAACCGTATTTCTAAGTTTTTATTGGACAGTTGAACAGAGCTATTTGCAGTCTCGCTGTTTGAATTCTCACTTTACATGTTCCATTTTTGTATCTTGAATAACTATTTGTAAAATGACAATATGTAAACATCAACCAGTGATTTCTTACTGTTTATTTTTTCTCTGAATGCATGTATTATTTCTACCTATTTTCTGTTTTGTTTAGTCTTTCTTTAAATAAAACTAAAAAAAAAAAAAAAAAAGAACAACAACACAGGTCAGCGATGTAGCTCAGCAGCACAAGTGCCTGCCTGGCAAGTGCAAGGTCCTGAATTAGATTCTTGCTTAAAAAAGAAAGAAAAGAAAAAGAAGGCATTATTTATTTAATTGTATGTGTCTGATTTATTTCACTTAGCATACTATGGTCTCAAGGGGCATCCGTCTGCCTGTAATAACTCATTCTTATGCTTCTTTATGGCAGGTAGTTCTCCACTGTGGTAGTTAACTGAGCACATCAACTTGAGTAAGAAACACCCCACTAGACTGGCTCAGCATAGTCCTGGGTGTGGAAAGCCCACTGAGGGATGGCCGTCGCCAGAATGCTATACAAGGGGAACCAAGAAGGAAGGCTGCTGTTGCTGCTCTGGAGGAACAGGAGCTCGAGTCTTCGCCTTCACCTTGGACTTTGTTTCCTGGTTTCCATCGCAGACTCCTCAGCTTCCTGATACACACTCTCACAGACACTGAAGTGGGCTCAGGCTTTCGACTGGACCCTTCGGATCTCCAGCTCTTCTGCATCTGACTCTGGGCGGCCACTGTAAGCCAATCTTGTTATTTGTATATGTTGAATTAAATGTTTCTCTAGTAAGCACTGGCTGATACCTCCACTGTGTATAAGGCCACATTGTAATATGGTGTCTTTGACTCTTGAGATTATAAATACATATATATGGGGTGTTTTGTTTTGTTTTGTTTTTTATTTTTTGAGACAAGGTCTTGCTGTGTAGTTCATACTGGCCTTACAGTTTGGTCTCGAACTCTCAGCGATCCTCCTGCCTGAGCCTCCCAAGTGCTGGGATTACATGTGTGTGCCACCATGTCTGGCACACAATATGTTTTTTGAAAATCAAAGTTAGAGGCGATATCTAAGTATTATTTAAGTTCCATTGTGTGTCCA